AATATTATGTTTTTAAAAATTGATTAAATAGGTTGATTATTCCACTCTGGAGGTCTCTGAAGTCCATGTGAGGAAAAAGAGGCAAAACTGTGTGAGGGGGCTTGGGCAAAATGTGACGGGAACCGCAGCTCAGCCTTCAAGATGGATGTGGCCTTGTCTTTTTGGAAAGTGGCCCCAAAAGACACAGAGCTTCAGAAAGATATTTTTTTCACTACCTCTCTCAGAATCATCCAACCACTGATGTATATAGTCCCTGCTTGCTGGGGGATTCTGGGAGTCAATACAAAAAAAGTTGCTTTCTGAAAGAATTGGGAAGGTGGAATCATAAAACCACAGTGCCCAAAGGGTCCCCTGCAGCCGACCATTTCTTTCCAGTGCCTTTTGCTGTTCCGTAGAAATGAGGTCTTATTCATTAGTTGGAGCACAGGATATAGAACAGGAAATGGGTGCATGTCTGTTAGTCACAGTGGTGGGTAGGTTAAAGGTTACTGAGCTACTTTCCAAGCAAGCCTGGGGGAAAAGAAATATAGGGTTGTTTTGGCTAACCTCACTTGGATGCTACCATCCTTATCTTTTTCTGGTTCCAGCTTCCATTTGGGGTTGGCCTGAAAGAGTATCCCAAGGTGTGTGTTTGTGTACGTTTGTGTGTGTGTGTGTGTGTGTGAGAGAGAGAGTGAGCACCATGATTCCTTCAGGGAGCATAGAGTAATGTTAGAGTAATGTGATGCAGATTAGGCTGAGAGAATGGAACTGGAGGGTTTACCCTGTACCTCCAGTTCAGGAACTGTGCTCCCTTAGATCCATGTGAAAGGGGCATCAGTGGGAGATCCCATAATTTACTTCCTAAAAGGCCTGGGCTCTATGATCCATGGCATCACCAGGATGCTGTTGCGCTCGTGCCCTCTCGTCATTTTAATCCTATCGCTCAGCCACTGATTGATCAGAACATTGAACACGTTGTTGGGAAATTCTGAAGACTGTAGTAAAACAACTCTGGTTGTTCCACAGCCACCGGGCCACCATTGTAACATCGGAGCTGGATGGTCTACAGTGAGCAAAAAGACATGGGATTTATTTTTTAGCTGAGCTGCTCAGTCCTAACCAAGTTACTCATAGGTAAGTCATGTTGCTTTAATTTGGGTTTGTTTCCTTGAAAATGGGTGAAATGTTGTGAAGGACATGTTCCAGTCAGAGCTCTTGCTCAAATGAAGCCACAGACAGGCTGCACAAGATAAAAATTAATTTAGAAAGTTACTCTTAGTTGTTGTTATAGTGCCATGCCCAAGAAGTATTTACTGCTGTAATTTTTTTGTTGTTGTGTCATTATGTGCCCTCAGCTGACTTCCAGTTTTTACAGTGACCATACACATTAGTGACCTCCAAAAGGTCCTGTCTGTGACAGCTCTGCTCGGGTTTTGCAAACTCAAGATCCTCAGCTCCTTTATTGAGTCAATCCATCTCATGTTGGTCGTCCTCTTTTCCTACGACCTTCTGTCTTTCCTAGCCTTATTGCGTTTTCCTGTGATTCTTGGCTTCTCATGACCTGTCCAAAGCCCAATCGCTTCAGGGCAGTCATTTCAGCCTCTAGTGAGGGTTGAGATGGATTCCATCTAGAACACAGTTCTACCTGTCTTTCTGGCAGTCCATAAGTTTTCTATGAACGCTTATGGACTGCCAGAAAGTCTATGAACACTGGATTTCAAATGAGCTGATCTTTTTCCCTGTCAGCTTTCTTTGTTGGCTAATTATCACATCCCTGAACAGAAGGAATACAGTGGTGCCTTGCTTGATGACGTTAATTCATTCCAGCGAAATCTCTGTAGAGCGTAAACTACTAACGTCGTCAAACGAAATTTAAATACCCACTGAAACACATTGAAAACCGTTCCAATGGGCTGAATACCTGCTCGTCCAGCGAAGATCCTCTAGACGGCAGCCATTTTCGGTGCCTGTATAGCGAGGAATTCGTCCTAGAAAACAGCGGGAGGCCATTTTGTAAGCCGGCAGCCATTCTGAAACCTGACAATCAGCGAAAAATTGGTTCCCGAAACAGGGAACAGCCATTCTGAAACCTGATAATCAGCTGTTTGCTGATCATCGTAAAGCGAAAAATTGGTTCCCGAAACAGGGAACCGATCAATGTGAAGCAAAAAACCCCAATCTAAACATTGTTTTGTGATCGCTTTTGCGATCGCAAAAACTTCAATGTTAAGCAGATTCGTCATTAAACGGGGTAATCGTCCAGCAGGGCACGACTGTATTTTGATTCTGATACCTTGCACCTTATCCTTAAGCTTCAGGACCTCTGCTAGTTCCTTCGCAGCTGCCTTTCCATTTGGTTCTGATACCCTGCACCTTATCCTTAAGCTTCAGGACTTCTGCTAGTTCCTTCGCAGCTGCCTTTCCAACCATCACTTCTTTTTTATTTTTTTGGCGGCAGTCGCCATTTTGATTGTTGGCTGAACCAAGATATGGAAAAATCCTTAACAATTTCATACAGTAGCTTTATGTTGTAGTTAGTTCTTTTAAAGTATTTCTTTGTTTAAACTACTTACAATTAAATTAAGAATAACAACATGAGTGCTACGTTTCTACTGTAAATTGAAAATTCTCCCTCATTAAGCTACAACCGCAGTTTAGCATACTTTCAATTCCTGAGGAAAGGAATTTATTACTAATAATTAGTTGCCTGTACTCTGCAATTTCCAAGCTCTTGACAGTAACAGTGAATGGGATGAATGACACTGCATGTGCAAATTCAGTGATGGTAAGACTGATGATGACTGTAGTTCTAACTGAGAAGAAGTATGCCTGCTACCCTTCTAATCACACTCAGTGGAGCAAGAGTCCATACAAGTAAATACCAAAGGCTACATTGTGTCACATTTATCCCCGTCTTTCTCTCCTCTCCTCCCTCTACTTTCCATTCCCACCTGTTAAAACTTAGAATGTCTGAGCTCCTTCGGGCAAATGGCTGTACTTTTACTTATCTTTTAGTTTTATTGATGCTACTGTATGAAAGGCAAGGGGAAGGAGACGTGTGTGGCTGAAGATCTATGGCCCAAACCCAGCTGTTAGGCCCAGCCTACACTGGGCCCATCCAACCTATTGGATGTAGATAAGCATTGTTATAAAGAAAGTCCTGTTGATTCAGTGGGTCTACTTCAGCCTGAGAACCAGTGTGGTGTAGTGGCCACAATAGGATTTAGGGGGCTTGGGTTCCAATCCTCTGCTCACCCATAGAAGTGTATGGGTGGGGAAGGAGGTGGCCACAGTAAACCCTTCCTAGAACATCTCATATAATTTTAAACTCCTATTATAGTTGCCATAAGTGGGAAACGGCTTGATGGCATGCGGCCAGAGTAACAGCAGGTGTGTGGCATCTAACAAGCGAATGCAGGCATATGTTTGATGTGATTTAGGTCAAAAAGGTTCCTAGGTCAGTAAGGTCTGTAAGGAGGGCACAGCCCAGAGATCAGCCTCCACTGGACCTGATAAAACAACCCCACGCCAGGCCAGTGTTCCTGGAAAGTCCATAACCAGGGGCTAAGAATAAAAGGCTTCCTCTTTCCCACCCGTTTCCTCTCTTTCCCATTCCCGGCAACGCCTGCTTACAGGTCGACTGCCACTGAACATGGAGGGTTCACGGAGCCCTTGATCACGCCAGGAGCGCCTCTAAGCCGGATTCAAAGCCGTCCCACCCGGGCGCCCGTCCCCGCGTCCCTCACAGCCCACCGACCGGCAACGCGGTTCTTTCGCCGAGGTGGTGGTGGTGGTGGTGGGAAAACCCTTCCCCGCAGGCGGCAGCGGGGAGCGCGCCTCCAGGCGAGGCGAGGCGAGGCGAGGCGAGGCGAGGCAAAACGTTAGGAAGAAAAACCTTAAGAACATGGCTGAACAGTCCGGAAAACCCACAACAACCACCATATCCCAACCATGAAGCCGAGAAGACACTTCTCACTTCACTTTGCAGGTGGATGCATCTCAGTGGTACAGTGAGGGACTGAAGTCCAACATCTGTCCACAGGAACAGACACATGGAATCTAAGTGTCTGGAGCTATCATTCCATTTTGCAGGTATCCCGGTGGCAACCATTACAGAAACATTATTAGGGACTTGAAATGAGGAAAAATACCCAAGTGTCTTTGGTGTGCCATATTTTGTGTGTTGCACACATTTTGAACTCATAACCGTGATGTGTTCTAAATTGGTCTAATTCACAATATATTCGGAATGAGTCCAACATTGAACTACTGGATAGCTCAGTAGTATAAGCATCTGCGTTTCAGGACTTGGGCTCCCGGGAAGGGAAAGCAGTGGGAGAAGTAGAGCCTCGGAGGGGAGAGAAAGTTCCGGGCGCGGGACGAGGCGGGCTCACCATGTGGGCGGCGAGAGTTGCCCCGGGCGAAGCGACCTGGAGCCGCCGCCGCC